CATAGGTGCTGTGATAGTTGGTTTTATGTAGAAACTCGGCATGAACAATCCATTTGCAGGCTTTTAGTGAGGCCAGACTCAACCTTGTTTGAATGTCACCGAGACCCCTACCAGGTAAGCGTCTGTCGAGTTAATCCATGCGGTCTGGAAATCAGGTTTAAAGGTAGACTTGAATTTTGGTAAATCCCTTATTGAGCAATAGATAAGTAATGATATTCACTAGATAATAATGATAATACATTTGGAGATATACAACAAAGGAAATGAGTCCGATTGATTGATCCCGTTAAGAGGACAAGTAGACCTGCAGACCTACGTTGCCGGTCTCGCAGTCAGTCTGAAATTTGTCAGATGGTTCAATGATACTGACGGCCGACAAAACTGACAGACCATGAGACAAACATAATATATCCTACTACCTTTCTCTGTTTACATCGTCTTGTTGTTCTCTCTCGCTTTTCTCTCTCTCTCTCTCTCTCTCTCTCTCTCTCTCTCTCTCTCTCTATCTCTTTCCCCTAATTTCTCTTTTTTCATTTGTTCTCTCTCTTTTCTCCCTCGCCTCTCTATTCCACCCCTTCCTTCTCTTTCTCTCTCTCTCTCTTTCTTCTTTCTCCTTCTCTCATTCTCTCGATCTCTTTCTCTCTCTTTTTTCTCTCTCTCTTTTTCTCTTTTTTCTCTCTCTCCTCTTTCTCTCTATCTTTATCTGTCTTTCTCTCTCTCTCTCTCTCTCTCTTTCTCTCACTCTCTTTCTCTTTCCCCTAATTTGTTTTTTTTATTTGTTCTCGCTCTTTTCTCCCTCGCCTCTCTATTCCACCCCTTCCTTCTCTCTCTCTCTCTGTCTCTCTCTTCTTTCTCCTTCTCTAATTCTCTCTCTCTCTCTCTCTCTCTCTCTCGTTCTCTTTCTCTCGTTCTCTTTCTCTCTCTTTTTTTCTCTCTTTTTCTCTCTTTTCTCTCTCTCTCTCTCTCTCTCTCTCTCTCTCCCATCTCCCTATCTTTATCTGTCTTTCTCTCTCCCTCTTTCTTACCATCTCCCTATCAATTCGCTCCCTCCCTTCTTACAGTCTACCAGATCCATGCTAACCCCCATCCGTTGTCATTACCCCCAGTGCGTGCCCTGTTTCCGACCCGTTATTCCTTGTTTACCAGATCAGTCTTTATCTATTCTGGTCCCCGTGAAAGTACGTTCCTATCCACGCAGTCTGTTCATCTCAATTAACCTACTTCCATTATTACAGAGGTCAGACGGCCCATTTACAAATGGTTTGTTGGGGAATAAAAGCGAGATTCTTGTCAAATTCGAACCGTGCGTGAAATAAGCGGATAATGATAACATAGTAGGACGAAATGTGTGTTTAATAGATGCGCTAATTGAAGTTATAGATCAGACATAATCATATTCCATTATAGACCTAGCAGATCGTAATTAGAATACAAAGGTATAAACGTATAGTAGTCTCACTGATCTGAGCATCGGTTTTTTTTTTTGCTTGTGTTTCAGCGCTTAATACAATCTACACTCCTTATCTAAACGTATCGTCCGTACCAAATATAACAGGACTGGCTACTGGTTCTTAATTATCAAAGGTTGATGTAAATAAGCGAAGAGATTACTGTGCGGGATTCATTTTCATTTACTTACTTTCCCTCCTTTTTTTCGTCATTTAAATGGTACGAGTGTGAGATATCTAGTTTATAAATCAAACGGCTAATTCAAAGAAGTATCAAATATAGTGAATAAATGGGTATTCAATATCATTACGCCTGTACTATCAGAACGGAAACCACAGCCTCTCTGCAATATGCCCGTACAACCTAAAAAAGATATTATCACTATTGACTGGCAAGCTAAAACATAATCTGTTGCACCACTGTCCTTTAAAAACGTTTCAGAATTAACCCCCAAAAGATATTCAATAACAGTGGATTGTTAGTCATTTTTAGTAGCTAATTTGTTTTAACGGATTTGTTTAAATATAATAATTATGGTTCCCAAATATTCTTTTGGGAGTATACTGATAACACACAGCGTGCGAAGTGCTGAGTAAATGCAAGGAAAATCTACTCAACGAAAAATGTTGCTTGATTTGGATCAGGTGTTTAGACAGCACTGTTCATTCATAAGTTGCAAAAAATGAAAATGGTTGAACGACCTTCATTATTTTGTTTGTAATGCTTACTGAATTACGAGATGGACATTCCACCTTAAACACCGGCAAAGGAAATAGGCCGATTGAAGTGGCTGAATAGCTTTGATCAACATCAGCGGCAGCGCCACGATCTTATTTTCTAAAGCGAATATAACCTATTCCTCATTCTTTAAAAGAGCGAATATATGTTTGGTCGAACACGACCTGTCACTCACAGTATATATGTGTCGACGTCAGGAGCGCAGGCATGAAAAATTTCATCTCATGTTGTCACGGCAACGGATGATATTACAAACTTGTCGCTCCTCTCATCCGCGTTGGAGCTGTCAAAATGATTACAACGTTACATGGCCGCGATTTATTGGGTGGTGTACTGGAACTGGGGATTATTTTCAAGGGACAACTTGGCCTCACCACCGAATTCTGAAAGCTAATCACAGATTTCAAAGATGAGGAATTATGTTACTGTGATTTCGAATATCATTTTTATATGAATGAATGCCATGAATATAAATGAATGCACGAAGACCTTCCAGGAAATTCTGACAGGCTAATCACAACTTTTTGAAGATGTGAATCAGTGTTACTGTGATTTCCAATAAGATTCCGTAAGGTAACGGTTTCATTGATGCAATTCGTTTGAAAATTGAAAGGATGAGGTCTGTCTACTACAACGTGAACGTTAATCACAATGTTTAAAGATAGGAAAAAACCTTGATGTGACAAGCGATACCATCTTTTAATGATTCGACAGGTTTATTGAAAGAAATTAGTTTAAAGAAAAAAGAACGAACGAGGACTTTCAAATGAATTTTGAAAGCTAATCACAACTTGTTAAAGATGTGAATTAGTGTTCCCAGATTTCCAAGAACATTCCTTAAGTCAGCGGTTTTTAATGAATGAAATTCGTTTAGGGGGAAAAACTAACAGACAGGAATCAACAAATCGGAAACGTTTTAACGGGGGCGTATTAAAAAAGAAACTCACAATAAATAAACGCCATCACCAGATAAATGTGAGATAAAAAGATCTAAACTTGCATGAATATAAGACAAAATAATACAAAAAAAATGATGTTAACAATGGGTCGATTCCCCTCTTCCCACCCCTCTATATAAAATTATGACACTATTACAAATTGAGTTGTGGTCTATAGTGGATAAGTCGCCCGACACTAATCCACCCATTATTATCGTCCTTTGGTAAGACATTAATCTACATTTGCCACTCTCCATCCAGGTGTATATGGGTACCCGATATGCTCGAGCGCAAGTTACTTCGGCGGCTTGGCTGTTAATGTCAAAGCGACATGAGAGCCACTGCATGATCGATATGAGCGATATATAAGTGCCCATTGTCATTGTATTATCCCCCACCATTTAACTCACATACCGATAAGAAAAATAGCTAGAAATCAACCTGTAAACCATCATAGAACACTTAAGAATGTCTTTATTGTACGAAGTTGATCTTAATAAAATCGAAAACGTGTTTAAGGAGGCTTGTGAATATGACAAAATATTTAACGTTGGGTACTGGGGAAAAAATAAGCTGACAAGAAACAACCGCTATCATCAGATTATACGGGCAAGATCGAGTTGAAAATGACACAGTAAATTTGGCCCTTTTTTCTACAGATCTAGACAAAATATATAAAATCAAACATGTATGAGCAAATCTCTAGTATGTACATAACATCCAATACGTTAAAAGAACTTTAAAAATGACAAAATCGAATCGCGTGGATGAGGGTGACACAAAGTGGCACTAATGGAGAAAAAAACTGGTGTAAAATGAAAAACTGGAATAAGACTTCCCATAAGGATAAATATTCGTGAAAAAGGAGTTAGACAGGTTAAATGGGGGTTTATTTCCGACGTATTTGGGGCAATCTCTTCGACCATCTAAATTAGATCGTACCATACAAGAACGCCATCATATATTTGATTACAAGACTTGGTGATATTTCAGATGCAATGCATAATGAGACGAGTACACGTAATAGGTAATTCTATCGAAGATCGTTGGAAGTTGAGGCTACGTAATTGAACTTTTTATCCTCAATGTGTTAAGTTCATGTCCTAGTTATTTTCTTCAGGGGTGGAATACAGATATCTTCAAGGTTCCAAGCTAGCCTACTTTACATTTTAGAAGCAATTAATGTTTGTTGGAAATGAATGGGGAAATGAATGGGACATCGAGAAAACTAGTAAATACCAATATTGGTTAAACGTCTTTTTCTGTCCTGTCAATGAAGGCACTTTTGTAGACCACTGCAAATATCCCCCTGAAAATATTTGATTATAGATTAATGTACACGTGCATGTATTCATCTAGAATCGCGAATGGAATAAGTAGTATATAGAGGGATGAGTTATCTCTTCAGCGGTCTTAAAAGCAGGGCTCAGCGAATGAAAGTGATCGATTCGAGAGGGGAAGAAGACAAGTGAACTGGACAAAAGTTCAAGGAAGATGTGTACATGTATCCGGCAAAGTAATAAGATATGGAACACAAACCTTTGGTCGTTGGAGGAGAGAACAAGTGGGAAAAGAAGGGATTGAGAAAATGAGAGAGCAGGAAAGAGAAAAAGAGAAAGGGGGAGGGGTGGAGAGTGAATAAAAGTGGATATACAAAGTCATGTAGGTTTGTTGATCGGGGAAACGATCAATTGAAATCATTTATAAAAAAGAATAATAATACAGATAGGACGAGAGATAGTCAGGAAGTGGCGGACGCAAAATTTAAATCGCGCCGATTTTTTTTTTTTTTTTTTAACTATTAAAAAATTTTGAGGGGGGGGGGTTAACCCCCAAAACACCCCCCCCCCCCTCCTGCGAACGCGCCCGCGCAGAATGTCCAAATTTGAAATATAAATTCGCTAAAATATTTGATTAAAAAAGACGAAGAACGAATATATCTCGACATTAATTTTGTTCACATACCGTCGAAAAAAGTGCAATGTCCACAGTCACAGGAAAATTTCCAAGATGTAGGTATATAACAGTCAAAAGAGAGTGCACTATACACGCAAAACATCCCTAAATTGAAACATGTGTCACATTCTAATTACTCGTTGGGGATCCTGTCGTTGGTCCGGAGATTGATGGTAAGATTTGTTGTCAATTTATCGAAGAAATACTCCTGTCCTCTTAAGCCCTCAGTCCAATGAATATATGGTCTGCCATCACTGAGGTACAACCTCGCCAAGAATGGCATTTCATCATCTGGGATGTCTTCGAGAAAGACCACGACAACGAATTCAGTCAGAGTGTCACTCACGTGGTCCATGGCTGTACGGAACTTGAGTATGAACCAGCGATCAAGCACAGCAGCACTGCTGAGCACTATGATGGTCTTGTAACTATGACTCACCACGTAGTCAACAGACTCTAAGTAATGCATTCCCAGGACGAGGTCCGCATCTCCAAAGACATTCCTCTGAAAATGCGGAAGCCGTTCTGCGAGAGCCGGTCGGAGGTGTTCGCGAATCCACTCTTCGTCATCATCGTAAAATATGACATTCAAGTCAAACTCATAATCATTATGATCCCTAGCGTCTCGCATCTCCTTGTAGCCAAGAACTGCCAGTTTGACTAGAAACAGTCTGTACCTCAGCGGCCACCGGTAGTGGTATACGAGTGCGACGATGAAAATCAGACAGATGATGGCGAGGGTAGGCAAACATACCAGGGCGATGTTGATGCTACAGAACTTTTTAGGATCGAAATCAATTAGATACTCGTCCCGAAAAGGCTCTAAAGAATCCGATGAACATATGGCTTTGTCGTCGTCGTCATCGCCCTCAATGAGGCTAAGTGGTCCGCTTAGCCATGTAGGAAACCAGCTTAGATCACAGTTGCAATCGATAGTGTTCATTGAAAGGTCGATGAATAACAGAGAAGAATAGAGCGGTTTAAAAGTATTTTGCTCGAGACGTGTTAATCTGTTGCTTGATAGCAGAAGAGTTTTTAACTTTCGATTACTCAAAAAGATCGCTCCATCAAGGTCCGTCAAAACGTTACCAACAAGATCAATGCTTGTTACTTGATCTAATGACTTAAACAAATCGACAGGAAGCTGCTTAAGTTTGTTATTTCTTAGTATTAGAAGCCGAAGTGATTTCAACCCTGTGAAGGCTTGTGGATGAAGTTTAGAAAGGTTGCAGTCTTCTAGAGAAAGATTGTGTAAAGCGGAAAGCTGTTGCAGGACCCCGGGAGGCAGATCCTCTGTATTCCGTGTAGCGCTGTATATCGGATTTTTGCTCAGATCCAAAGCTGTAATATTGAACAATCCGTCGAAAAGAGAGACATTCTTGCGTGGGTTCCACAGGTTACCAATCAAAAGCCTCGAGTGTATCATCTCCAAACGTTCCAGGAGTTCTACATTTTTAAAGGACGTCGTTGGTAGTAGAAACATCATGCGTGTTTTCATATTATTTAGGAAAAGTGATTTTAAGCTTGGGATCATCAACTGAAATCCCATGACATTGCATTGTGACAAATCAATTTTTTGAATGCTTTTAAGTTCCAAAAAAGATGTCTCCTCCAACATGACGAGCAATTTGTTTGAGTGCAAATCTAAAAGCGTTAAATTATGCAGACCCCGAAATGTAGATTCTCTAATTGCAGTCAAAGAATTTCCGGATAACTGTAACTCAGTTAAGTCTATTGTCCATGAAAGATTGTACGTGTTTATATCTTTAATACGGTTATCGTTTAAGTCTAACTTTCTTAAATTGTGCATGTCCTCAAAGAAATTCGGTTCGATTGTAACTATACCGTTGTTTTGAAGATGAAATTGCCTGAGCCTTGTCAGATTCGAAAATACGAAAGGGTAAGGGGCGTGTAGGTGATTATTGTTGAGGTCAAGTATTTTAAGAGAACAATCGCGCAGTGGATCAAATAGATCTTTCGGAACGATGCTCAAATCAGCGCCATTTGTGAATGAAAATGTTTCTATCACTGAACGGGAGATACCGATGAATATGTGTCTCAGTTCCTCGATTGTCAAAGCGTTCCGACTGAGTATCAATGATCTGACATGGAGCGATGCAATTACGTTTTGATCCACTGATGTGATGAAGTTTCTTGTTAGATCCAAAGTATCAGAGTTGCACACGAAGTTAAAAGCATCTTCTGTAATGTTTTCTATCATGTTAAAAGACAAGTCGACATGCCTTGCTGTGCCACATGAGCTTATGTTTATGACAGTGAGTAGGTTTCCCAAAAGGTTCACAGTATCCAAATTTCGACTCCATTTTAGAATGTCATTAGGGATCGATCTCAAGTATGATAGAGACACATCTAAGTGCGACAGCTTTCTTGCCCATTTGAAGAGGCCTGTACCTGGAAGCAAAAGGTTGATATTGTTTGAAATGTTCAAGCGCGTTAAATCCTTGAGAGGATGTAAAGCTGTGGATTCTATCACCCTAATATTGTTGTGGGAAAGTTCCAGATCGGTGATGAGAGGATATCTTCTAAATGAGTAGTTCAGGAGAGATCTGATGTTGTTTCTATCAAGGTACAAACCCTCCGTATCCTCTGGAAGATGTTGGGGTACAGAAATGAACCCTCGGTCGCCGCAGAAAACTTTCTTTCGTTCAAAGTCCTCATCACATCCCTGAAGAGAAGTATCTAGATGTAAGCTCCTGGAGGGAACCAATGTCGCAACCCCGTGCAAGGTTTGGCTTAAACTGATCACCAAATGGAGAATAAGCAGTGAGTGTTTGAAAGCCATGATGACCGATTCCTATCTGCAAAAAGGAGAACCATACAACAAAAAATGTTCTCAGATAATCTAAGCTGTCGATTGAAGTACAATGCTCGTTCGCTGTTACATACGTATTGTCTATAAAATGGATATTGAAAAGCAGTTTTAAGATTGTGTATCTTCTTTTATTTTTTCATTTCTGAAGAAGATTTTTTTTTAAAAACAAATAATTCCCATTATGTTTGCTTAAACATGTATATTAGTCAGCTTAATTATTAAGCTTAGTATAAAATTGTTTACGTGCAATTCATAAGTCATGCCAAAATGTACCACCTTTAAAAATCACAAAAGAACACATCAAAACACACTTAGTTGTTTTAACAAATATAAATGTAGGAGGAAACGCATATTTTTACCTTCGTTTTACACAAGCCTCAGGAAATTCGGGCACCAAAGAAGCTCTTTCTTGATGGTTAATTAAGAGAGGAAGGAGATTCCAGCAACGTTTGTTCACTCTGAACAGTCACAGTTAAATGAAAGGCCTGAATTTATTAAAAAGCGTAATCTTATTTCAATAAGTAACACTCTGCGTGAACAATGTGCAAGTGAAAGCAAAGTCAATAAATTTATTAATTGAATTCATGAAATTAATTTTCATTGTTTTTGTTAGAGTTGTCCAGATAATGGTAAATGTCCAATGTGACGAGTTTATTTAATATTACTTTCAGTTTAGTAGCCCATTAAAGCCTAATGACTTTTGTTTCAGTGTAGAATTTTATCACTGAAGTATATAAAACTACGATTTATCTATGGTTTATACTATATTAAAATAATCGATTGTTTCATCACTGTCATCGCTAAGCACTTAATAAAGACAAATTTTAATTTAGAAGAGTTATTCAGTAGACAAATCGTTTTTTTGGTTTTTATTTCAATTTTTTTATTAATAATTAATCATTACAAGCTGTACCAGTGGCGTACGCATGATTTTTTTCAAGGGGGGGGGGGGGGGGGTTAACATTTTTAAATCGCGCCAAAAATTTCGCAACGACTCGTTTAGTGAAGGGAGGGTAAAGTCATCAAAAATCACACACATAAAACAAATTGAGGAGGGGGGGGGGGAGGGGTTTATCCATCCCCCCCCCCCCCCGGCTGCGTGCGCGCCTGTAGTCAGGGAAAGAGATATCGGACTGAAATAAAGTAGAGGGGAGCTGTGTGGGAGTTCACGATGGTTGGATAGAGAGGGAAAGATTGAGTACGACTGTATTGCGTTCGTGACATCAGTATCCGAGATAGAATTGATAGGGAGATGGTAAGAAAGAGAGAGGGGTAGTGAGAGAGTGAGTGATAGAGAGAGGGGAGAGAGCGAGCGAGAGAGATAGGGGAAGGAGAGAGAAAAAGAATGAAAGGGAGAGAGAGGGGAGAGAGGGCGAAAGAGGAGAGGGAGGGAGATATATATATATATATATATATATAGATATATACCTCTAAGATCAATCTTGATATATTATGTCTTACTGAGATATGGTTGCATGACATGATAGATGATAGCGTAGTTAAAATTGATGGTTATCACTTAATAAGAAGAGACAGGAATAACAGCACTAGAGGAGGTGGTGTCTGTATATAGGTTCGTAATATCATTGTTTTTTCAGAAAGATATAACTTGTTAAGTATTAACGTAGAGGCCACTTGGATTGAATTATCATTGAAATCTGATAAACTTATCATTGGGTGTTTATATAGACCACCGAATTCTGACTCTTCTTATTTTGATAATATGCTGAATATTTTTGAGAAAGTAGCATCTGAAGATAAGGACCTAGTTATATTGGGTGATTTTAATTATGATTATAAGTTTGATGCTGCAAGTTTTAGTGATAATCCTGTTAATATGATTGAAAATCTCTTCTCATTAACACAATTGATCCATAAACCCACCATGGTTACAGGCACCTCTTCTAAATGTTTAGACCATATTCTTACTTCTGTACCAGATAAGCATATACTAAGTGACGTAGCTAAGATATCCTTAAGTGATCATTACTTTATATACACATGTATAAATGTCAACAATACTTCTAAGAATGTTCATAATGTAGTACGATTTAGAGACTATAAGAATTTTAACGAGAATGCTTTTATTGATGATTTAAAACATTCTGACGTACTTAATAATAATTGTACTTTTTGTATTCCCCTACGAGAAAAGTGGGTTGAATGGAAACAGGCTTTTTTAAATTGTTGCAACAAACATGCTCCTGTAAAAGAATGTCGGGTTAAAACTAGGCACTGCCCATGGATAAATTCTAATATTATTAAACTTATTTATAAAAGAGACTACTTAAAGAAAAAATATGATAGACTAAAAATTCCATATCTATTGACTGAATATCGAAATCTCAGGAATTCAATCACTAAGCTCATACGAAAAGAGAAGAGAGAATATTTTGATTCAGTATCTGAGAGATACAGTAATGATAGTAAGAAGTTATGGAAGGAGTTAAGCAAAATTACTGGAAGGGGGAAAAAAAAGACTCTGTTTTACCATCTGATTTAGACAGTAATAAATTGAACGATTATTTTGTAAATATTGGTAAAAAGATTTCAGAAACTTTCAGTAATCACGATTTATCATGGAACCACCCTGAAAGTATACATACCTTTGTCTTGAAATCAATTAGTCCCGGGAAAACTAAACATAATCTCTCTCTATTGTCGAAAGAGAGTAGCCTTGATATCTTAGAATTTGATAGAAAATTGCTTCAAATCTCAGCTCCTTATATTAATATTTCTCTTAATTGTCTTTTTAATGAAAGTTTAAATTGTGGATTTTTACCTAATGATTGGAAATTGGCCAGAACTACGCCTGTTTATAAAGGTAAAGGCGATAAAAATAATATTTCAAATTATAGACCCATCTCAGTTGTATGTCATATTGCTAAACTGCTTGAAAAGGAAGTTCAGTCTCAATTTGTATCTTACTTGCAGACTAATCATCTTATTAGTGTTGACCAATATGCTTTTTTGCCAAATCATTCAACGAATACATGTTTACATAGAGTCATTGATGACTGGTACGATTCTTTTAATGAAAAGGAAAAAGGTGGTGCATGTTTTCTTGATATTTCTGAATGTTTTGATTGTATTGACCATGAACTTTTGTTGTCCAAATTGAATAAGTATGGTATTTTAAATACTGAACTTAAATGGTTTTCTAGCTTTTTATCTGGTCGGAAACAAGCAGTTTATTGTCATGGTAAACTGTCCGAATCAAAGGACATAACTATAGGAATTCCTCAGGGGAGTATTTTAGGCCCCTCACTCTTTCTTGTTTTTATAAATGATATAACTGATTGCTTACGATTAAGTACATGTAATATATACGCTGATGATGTTGTCTTATATGTTTCTGATATGGATATTAATGTCATTACATCTAAGCTCCAAGCAGATTTGTATGCTATAAATGAATGGTATTGTAAAAATACACTGTTGGTCATAATGGTGGAATATTTATTTTTACCCCAGTTTAGGGAAGGATTTTTTAAAATTATTTATTTCTAATAGATCTAGATAATGGCATACATTCTCACATTTTATTGAATATTAATTTGCGAGTGTTTGTTTTGCGTGACTGCTTAATCAT